ATTATTCGGAGAAAAACAACGTGTGTGACTTTAATTAAAACTTTGTTCTCAACGAATCATACTTGTTGTGGAGGGTGAAATTCCAATCGGTGATTGAAAACCATTCGATAAATGCATCCTTAGTGGTCATCAGGACTATCATGAATAGTAGAAAGGATCCGCCGTTAGACTGGTCACCTGACTGTAACTGTGCCTTCAATCGCGCTCAGTTGATTCCTTCGTCAGATTTACTGCTGACACACTACAACCTTTCAAAAGAGATAGTCATCGCAGCCTATGCTTCCGAATTTGAGTTAGTAGCTGTTATACCACGCCATCTACCAATTTAAGCTCTGACTGAATCACAAACCGTTCCTAGGAACTTTGAAAGCAAGAGAGGTATCCCGCTTCTCAAGGTTCCAGCGATGATTTCTAATCATGCGCACAAACAATTTCACAGTTCAGCACTGCATACAAGCACTTTGGCTAAGTAGGAGCCTTGTGTCGTCTAATTTCGAGACGGTCACCACCTTTGCAGGATGTTGTTATAGTCAAAATAAATGCCGATACTGTGGATCTCTTCGTAGATACGCCTGTTCAACTGGCAGCCACAGATGATGTCGTCACCGAAGAAACCCTAAGAACTTCCAGACGAAAGAAGTTCTCCAATGAGTTCAGAGTGATGGTCGAACAAATCCAAAAAATGCCTGCTTCGAATCTAAGTGCAATAGCCGATGCCAAAAAAGCAACGTCTAAAGTTCGGTGGAGACTGTCCGTGGCCTGGAGTAGACAACTCATCGAACCGCTTCCATACAGACTACGCCGGTCTAATCAACGGACCACGCGCCCTATCAGGTTGGAAGATAGGTCTTGCAACAATTTGGGCAAGTTTTTGAATTTTATTTTTGTTTATTTTATCAGTGTTTATTTTGTAATTTTGCAATTTAATGTTTTTGTTAATATTTATACTATATGGCTCTGGTTTTCCCTGGAGGAACATGTTCGAAGGTTGTAGGACTTGTCTTCTAACCTAATAGTAGGCCCGGACTCTCTACGATCGAGGAACCTTGCCATCTCTTTCCACAAATCTGTCCCCGGCTGATGCTCGTGACGGACAAGAGAAATCGGTTAACATCGTTGAGTTAGCAGCGTTTGCTACTGGAATAGATTAGAACATCTTCGTTCATCCCTTCTCCACACTCGACCAAATGGCCAGGCTGGACGCTTTAAGAATACATTTAAGAGAAATCTGAATAAGCTCAGAAGGAAGAGAACGATGCAGAAGTGCTACAACCGTTTTTATTCCGTGATCGTCGGTTGCCGGTCTCTACGCTCTTGCATCGAAACCAGCTCACATTGTGCGGAATCGCGGATACCGTGCTGAGTTTTCAATCTAGACCAGCGGACGGGTAATGTTGTGCTATGGAAATGTCAGTATGGTGTTCAGGTCAATTATCAGCTTCAAAAAAGCAGGCAAATCACTCGCTCCCTGGATTCGATGCGACTCCTACAACACTCACTCAATTCGAGGTGCCACTTCCGCCGTGCCACCCAGCAGTTATATCTACACAGGCCCAGAACGTTGAACAGAACGAGGATCCCATGGCGACGGCGACGTGTCAGCTGCAGCTCCTCGACAGCCGCCAAGAGAAAACCTTTTGAGCAATTATAAGTCAGCTCAAAAAAAGAAAGTATTATACAGACAGTGATCATCTCCAATGTTGTTGTTCCGACTACGCGTTGGAGCTCGCCTTGCGGAACAAAAGCACTGAAGCTGATACTGGGGACATAGGACAGAGCATGAATCTGTATGATCTGTGCCGACCTCTGGACCTCTGTAAGGTTCTTGTTTATGGCTGCCGCTATCGCCTCCAGGTCTTTTGCTATTCAAACTGCATATCACTTCGATAGAAGTTCCCCTCTGTGTTCCTCAGCACAGCATCATGCCTATGACTTTGACTGCACCACGGAAACTTATAAATTCTGTGCTTTAACAACTATTTTAAGAGGTCCCGGAACAAGCCGACTGCTCGACTCGCTAGTGTAGCCGATAAGTGCAGCATCAGTGAGTGTGAAGTGACTCACCTATTCCTTCCAGCCTCATGATTTGCCTTGAAAGCTTCATATGTCGCATCGGGTAGCGTGTACCGAGCAAGGGACCTATACTCTGCTCGGAGATTATCTACTCCAGTGTTTAAGGCTCGCATAACCCATTTTGCAACCTGAACAAAGATGCTGCTTTTGTGCTCACGTGTTTCATGATTAGGTAGTTCTGACGCTGCAGAATTAAAGAGCTACTTTCTGCGCATGTCATTTGCAGGACTATTTTCATGTCACCTCTAGGACTTTCATGTGTTGTTGTGCTGCACATCGTATCGAAAGGAATTTCACGCTCTGATAAGGGTATTGTAAAAGCAGGGATGATTGTTTCTGGTAGTCTGCGACAAAGTCTCTTCTGAGCGGTTCAAGGCACATAGCCCACAGATGCCTAACACTCAGGTGCAAGAAGTTCGAAGATGAAGCTTTGTCTGATCACACGATTGTGACTTCATGATCATAACAGATTAGATCACCGCAAATAAACTGCAAATTCGCCGAAAGCACTTCTGAATTAATAAAACTCAACAGACTTCGTACAGGTACTGAAATTTCGTCACCATCCAAGCCCTTCTCACGCCAGTCCAAAATGCCTCCGAAGCTCGACCTACTCGGGTAGTTAAGAATATATTTCACGAGCTAGAGGATTGGTTGGCTCTGAACAACTTGCTCGTGAGGACGTCGAGCGTGTTCTGCGTAGCCCATGGAACGAGGACGAATACACAAGTAATACCGGGTGACACCTCCTATATAGAATCAGGTCCAGAAGGCATGAATGTGTTGGGGTCCAAAACCTTGGTTATTAGAAAGAATGCCACGAATGTGCGGGATCAAGTTCGCGATAGGACTCTGATGTTGGAAAATGGCTTCATGGGCTGAAACGTTATAGGCAGTTGGATTATTGCGATAAGTGCCCAAGGGAATGGCAATGTTTGATGAATGGCCATAACAAATTTCGTCCCATGTAACGACATTTCGTTCCTTGTGAGCTTCATATAATGTAGGTTTTATGTCAACTATGTGGGTCGGTTTGAAGGTTGGTTTACAGCGAATGCACTCTATATACATATGTGTGTACTCTGCCTTTATTTGTCCTCAGTTGTGCATTTATAACCGCATACATAAAAGGACAAGAAACCAACCACTTCACTTCCTCGTGACTGTCGTGGTTGCTGTTGTTGAGGCTGATCATTCTGTAATTGATGAAATGTAGTCTATTCGATAAGTAGGAACACTCTTGCAAATATGAAAA